ATATATCCTTCATTTATATATCCAAATAAGCATTAGGGTCAGCTACTTATTATTTGTTACAGAATTTTGAGAAAAAGATAGATCAAGTATATTGCAATTGAAGTAGAAACGCCTTTCCCATCTTCTTCAGTGGAGATGAAGCTTGGTTATAATATCTAATTTTGGTTTTTCTTTAGTTCTATATATCATATATTAACTCTGAGACTAAATGGAAAAGGTATGTATGGATTTATTATTGTAGAAAGCTTATAGTTCAAGTCTTCTTAAAGGCATAAAGATGCATTATAAGCTAGTGATTGCCAAAAGTCATATTTTTATATATTCTTTGACTGACAATCAAAATCCTAATTAATATTAAAATAAAATATTGAGAAAACGGACTATTAGACTTAATCAAATCGATTTCAAGATCAAATTTCAATTTTATTTTAATATATAGAAACTGCCTTAAGTAAATGCTAGCCCCAGCTTAAGCTCAAATCCTTTTAAGCCTATTTAGCTTCTTGCTTGTCAAGTTTTTTTTTGTGGTCCACTTAAGATTTGTCAATCTGGCAAAGTGCTTATTAGCTTATTCCCAATTCTCGGTTTCTGGTTAGCATTTATCCGAAATGTCAACGGGTAATCGACTCTTGGCTAAGCAATTGAGAGACAGATAAATCTGTCGACTGGAAAAAGGAAAACCCGAAATCAAAAACTAATTTTCCGCCAACTAATTGCAATTAAGGGTAATCATATTTTCCTGCATGTGAACTCGTTTCTCCAACAACCAGTAGCCACCACGGTTGCAGGAAATTAATGTTTCTTTTATGTAATGGGGTCTTAAGACCAGGTTCAAATGGAGAAATTTTCCCGAGAGAGTTTCGTTTTTTTTTGAAATTCTGAATAACTGAATAACCCGAGCCCACGCAATGAAATGTGAAATAAACTTGAGCTCAGCACACACGCTGGGCGTCCATCTCTATTGGGTGGAAGGAAAGGCAAAGAAAAAAAACAACAACGTTATTATGCCCGCCAGGGCTAATACATGCAGTTATTATTAATGCCACTGTGGAGATGGGGTCCCGGGGTTCCAGGTTGCAGGTTCCCAGTTCTCCGTTCGAGGGGTTTGCCTCGGTATGTCGGCAGTAAATAAGCCTTCATTTTTCATGGCTCTCGCCTGACCGAATTCTATGCAGCAGCAGCAGCCAGTTCTTGGCCGACAGCAGCTGCGGTCTTCTTCCACCGAAAACTGTGGGGTTATGCAAGCCAAAATGTGGTAGAAAGGAGCAGGGAGCATGGAGCAGGGAGCAAGGAGCAGAAGCAGAGGCAGGGGCACTGCCACCGCATTCCTGGCCCAAAGACAGGCAGTTCAAATGTCAGGGGCCATAAATAAGCTGGCCAAAGAGCCAAATGGGTGACAAGGCTTCCGCGACACAGATGCTCCTTATGGCAATTGCAATTCAAGGCGCGAAACAATTAAACATAGTTTTCATTGCACAAAGCCGCCGACATCGCGCAAATTAATTTGTGCAAAAACAAAAACAAAAAGCAAATAAAAAGGAGCCCCAACATTTGTCTCAAAGAAAGCGCACTAAGCAAATCCAATTTCACCGTCAGCAATGTTTATTTATCTGTCGCCGCAGCTGCATTTAACTCTTTCACCGCCGGCCAATACAACACCCAAGGCTGCCACACTCGTGGCCATATTTGTGGAGCAATCCACCTTCATCTCCAGCCGGGGATCCCAATCCCAGCCGGCTCCCAGTTAATGCAGCCGATCAACAATTTAGATACAATATCGCATATCGCATCATAATGTCGTCGTTGTGGCCGTCGTCATCATCATAGCAGTGGCTTTGGTGGCCAGCAAAATGGCGACACCGCAGCAGCTTCAGCAGCAGCAGTAACAGTTGCAACAGTTGCAGCAGCAACATCAAGCGCGGCGGCATCTTTTTTCGCACCTTGTTTGAATGCGCGCGCCTAATGGACGACAGCGACATTAGTTAGCCGGCCGGCTGGAGACGCTGTCTTGGTCCAGTTTTGTGTGTTCGGCTTGTTTTGGCATCGCAGATAATATATTTAATTAAAAAGAAACACGATGACTGCGAGATCCATTGGCACAGCCAGTCGCGGATACGCTATCCATAGATCTTTGAGATTTGTGCTAAGGTGATAAGGAGAGAGACTACCCAGAAGTATGCTAATATATGGGCAAAGGGCTCTGAAACCCAATGAATTTTAAGTTTCCCACGCTTAAGAATAGTTTAAAATCTTTCTGGAATTTTGAGATAGTTTTAAAAATATTTAAATGCTTTTTAAATAATGAATAAAATTAAAAGAATTTAGTTTGTATGTGAAAGCAAGTAAAAATTATGCTATCAATGTAAACAAATATTAAACTTTTCTATATGTAAAGTCTAAAATTAACTGAAATGGTTTCCAGACATTCACAAAACAGAAATCTTGATTTATTAGTGTTTTTTCTAAATATAAATATTACACATGTGTGACTCATTAAAGAGAATTATTTTTGAAGTATAGTTTTTAATAGCTCTCTTTAGGTACTCTTTCCTAGAGTGTGTACCAAGTATTAAAATCTTTTCAAATATATACAATTAAGGTATTGAAAAAAGAATAAAATTAATAAAAAATTAAATCCCAATTCAATACAATATTCCTCTTACCCACACGCTTTGAGAGGGTATCTACAGAAAGGAGACAAGGGGTAAGACAAAAGCCAACAAAGATCTGCACAAAATTGGTAGCTGTCAACGCCTTTTTAATTGAAAGCGTGTTGGTGTTAAATACTCGTAAGTATCTCTTAGTATGATTTTTGCGCCGATCGCGATATGACAAGCGGGACACTGCGACACTCAGACACCCAGACAGCCAGACAGTCGGTCTCTCAAGCCGACATCAAGACAGCTGAATGGACAGGCTGCCGCTTATCGGTGAACTACTTTTGGAATGGAAATGAATGAAATCAAATCAAATGAAATGAAATGGGCAGAGTCAACGAATCGTATCGAATTCGAGTGCGAATCAATGGACGATTGAAAAATCACACACAAAAACAAACAAACTAGCAGCCACCGGGAGCCGAGAGAGAGAAAAATAAGATTGCATTTAATTTCTTTAACCTTGCTTTCACTTTTCTCATTAACTTTTCGTTTGGCAATTAAAATTCAATTTTTGCTCAAAAATCAAGTCAGATAAATGGCCGCACATTTCTCAAGCGGAGCGGAGTGCGCGGGAGCGTGTGAAAAAGGCCAAGAGACGCCACATACGAGGCGTACTCGTACTCGTCCCATAAGAAACGCTAACAAGGCTCGGCAAATTTTTAAATGCCAATTTCCGCAAATTATTAAATGAAATTGAGGATTCCGCACGGCTATCTATACATCTCTGGCAGGGGGATTCAATCGGGCCTTGGGCCTTAAATGGTGTGTGGGGTACACAGAGAAAAGATGCTCATAAATTATGATCATTTGGCTGTTGATTGATTTTGATTTTTTTAGATTTTTTTTAGGCATAAGTTACATAACCAAAAGACGTTAAATAAATCTTTTAAATAGTAAAGCCCAAGGCCTAGGCTAGGGAATTAGCAAGCAAATGCACAGAGTGTAATTACTAATTGTAATTTTATTTATATTTTTTATGCAATATTTAATATATATAAAATATAATGCCGGCTTGAAATTACTTTGTTTTTGATTACATCTCACAATAAAAATTAAGAAAATCGTTAAGATTTCTATCAGCATGTAAACCTTTATATTTCTCTGTCAAAGTCTTGATTTAATTGTTTTTCTTCAAATTCCTAGCGAATGAGTGATTTTAAAATTTCGAAATAATTTTTTTATTATTTATTTTTAACCCTCCCCAAACTTTAATTGAAATTTTTTTCTTCAAGTGCAGTAGCTGCGTGTCGTGTATTTGCAATTTGACATACTTTTGTTAACCGGCGGCAGCAGCAAAATCAAGCGGCAGCATCAACAATCATAATAATAATGGCCAAAGTTAATAGTGGCGCGAAAGTATGACGAATATGTAAACTGCAGCTAATCCCGCAACAAATGATTGCGATTAATCAGCGGAATTGCATTAGCTGCGACTCCAAAGGAGTAGCCCATCTGGGCGTTGCAGCAACTGTCACTGTTGCTGATTAAGCGAGATCTTCCACAGGAGATACATGCGCCATTCCAGGCGATTCACGAAGACGAGTTGTGGGTGCGTGCATCGGCAATTATGCTCATGGCGCGCACGGTAGTCAGCCATGGTTAGGGATCCCTTCCTGCGGCCAAAACTCATTAACGAGTCAATTAAGCCCGGGCCAGGAAGTGGCAGCGACAACCCAGCGATTGTGCGGCAGATGTTCCTCATCGCTGGCACAGCCAAGCTGGCTTATCTAACGGCTCCATTTGCCCGCTGACTGGCCACATCATCTCTCAATCTCCACCTGAATCCCAATTTCCATTTCCACATCCAATCCTCTACCGTCGTCGTCCCAGGAGCAACTAATGCGAAAGCGGCCCGAGGAGCGAGCACTAAGCGGATGTGCGTAATAAATTAATAAAGCCAGGCATTAAATGCAATGCATATTCAATTAACAATGTCAGGTGATATCTGCCAGATACATTCGGCATTCGGCTTCGCATTTCGCTCTGCCTGCCGCATTTCCTGTCAGCAAAAGCAAATCCTAGTCCCCGAGCTCATTAAATCTTTGGAGCTACAAAGTTGCTGGGAGAAACCGATTTTATGGATATTGTAAATCGTTCGGCGAACCTAGGGAACATTCCCTGACAACCTAAGATATGTCTAAGAGGGAATAAAGATGGATTACCTGTAGCTAGCACAGGTGTAATTTAGAAAAGAGCAAAAGCCTTGCAAGAATTTAGGTGTTACATTGAGAAATATTTTTAAAAAGACTTCCAAGTTGAATGAAACTAAAATCTTTTATATTTTTATAAAGTTCTCATAACCCAAATATAAATAAATTGAGGATTTCCCCTTTTACTCACCTCATTGATCTCATCCTCGAGGGCACGTTGCCTGGTCAGCTGCCTGAGGCGCTCCCTTCGCTGCTCCGTCAGCTGCTCCAGTCGCTGGGCGGCGCGATCCACTTCGTTGAAAAGAAGAGTCACCTTGCGTAGCTTGCAGGCGGCATCCGCATTGAGGGATGTGCTCAAGGAGACCGAAGCAGTCGGGGACGGAGGCTGAGATGTGCTCATCCTTTGGCCAGATGAAGTAGCCGGTGCTGGGGCAGAGGTGATGCCCCTGGCCAGCTCCTGCAGGCGGGCCAACTGGCCGGCGCCCATCTTGCGGAGGCTATGCAGCTGCGAGTCCATCAGCGCACGACTAAGAGCCCGATGCTGGCCGTAGAGCTGGCGGCGCGTGGGCAATCCCTGAAGATCGGCGGCGCGTATGTCGCTGAGGGCCGTCACCAGCCTGCCGCCGGCCAGGGAGCACTGCCGCTGGAAGGCCTCCAGCTGGGCGAAGAACTCGCGCCACTTGGCCGTGTCGTGATGCCGCTGCCCGCAGCCGGGTAGCGCCGCGAGGGCGGGCACGGAGGGCATCAGGCAGGCGGCGGGGAGCTGTGATGGCGCAACACTTGTCGTGACTTGGTCCACGCTAATGAATTTAACCAAATGCGACGACGACGACGACGGCGACGGCTCCTGTTTGGGGTCAGAGTCAGAGCAAAAGAGCGGACTCGATGTCATTAGTGGCCAGGTTCTGTTTGCCCAGCCGGTCATGTCGGCCAGGTTAATTGGCTGGGGATCAGAGTCGGTCTGGGGCTTCGAATCGGACTCGGTCTGGGGCGTTAGCCCGTTGCCTGGCCTTTTGATCCCGCCCTCTGACTTGCACACAGTGAAATATTGTTAAGTATTTATGGAATGGTAATCCCTAGAGATATTGGCTTTTAATTTTAAGTTGAAATTCAAGCAAGGAATATAAAATTCAAGTAATTCAATTCAATTAATGTTTTATATAATAGATTAGTAATGCTTATTATTTGCTCTTATATCAAAGTAGACTTGATAATGTTCAGTATCCTCATAAAAAATATTTAAAAAATTTTTAAAAAAGGATCTCTAATTTCTCTGTGTGCTGAATTTCGCAATCTGAAAGGTCAGGCTATATAAACTCTAAACCCTTGACTCACCTGGTGATCACTGTTATTGTTCTGCTGCTTCTGTTGCTGCTGTTCGTTGCACAATTGCAACAGACTTGGATCGCTGCAAATGGCCAAAATTTCACAATTGCCAATTTGCTTGGCTAAGAGTCTGAGACTTTGGCAAATTAAGTCGATTACGCATAAATGTTGAGACTTCTCGATGGCAATTAAAATGGTAAATGTCTGTTGGGCGGGTTGTTGCTGTTGCTGTTGCTGCTGCTGTTGCTGCAGTTGCTCCGCGCTTTTATGGCCATTGATTGTTGCCGTCGTTCCGGGTGTTGTCGGGGTGGAACGCGGACAGGAGCTGGAGCTGTAAGAGCAATGGAAACAAGCAATGAGTGGCGGTCTAAGAAGTGCACGGTCAAGTCGTATAAATAACATCAAAAGTGTTTGCCTCTTGTCGATCAGAGTTGAGTCGATAGGGGAACTAGTTCGGAAATATAATAAAGTTCTAGTAATATTCCTTAAAATAAAATAGGATCTTTAATCTTACAATCTAGTATACAAGTTTAATATTTCTAATACCTATTAAAAAGGAAAGACAACTACTAATAAAATAATTACACACACCTAGTTAAACCTTTAATTATACATTCCCGTTTGCCTTGAAATCAAGTCATCTTAAGAGCAATAAGTTTTTTTTTTGTCTTCTATCTGGACTAACCAATATATCTCTTATGCAACTAGCTTTGGCCACACACCTAATTAGAATTATAAACTGCCATGAAGGCCATGATTATTCAATAAATCATCATAATCGTTTGCAGCATTTCCCGCCTTGGCTAAATCCACCTTGGCATTAATCGCTCTTATTCGAAGCCAATTCTTGGGCTTCCAGGTGAACTGGTTCGTATGTGGGCTGCCCAGCTCCAGTGTTTCATTGCTCCACGCTCCATGCTTGGGCGGATTGGGTGGTGGTGTCTGTTGGGGATCGGCTCCAAAAGAGCGAGCAGAACACACCGACTCTGGGCTACGCCCAAAACGAGTTCGGCTTAATTGGCAATAAGCGGCCTCTGCACTTGGCTCTCACTTGGACTTGGGCCAGATGAAGCACTTTACCTTTCGCAAAATCACGTAACTATGACAAGTTGGTAGCCACTTTTAATCAGCGTAAATAAAAATTGAAAATTGCTGCTAATGGCAGCTGCCGCTCCGCCAAGACCAAGCCGTGTCTTAACACTTTACCCCAAGTTTGCTCAGCTCAAGTCTGAAATTCTTTTTAGCCAACTCCGCTGGCTAACTGTAAACGCATGCCAGGCCAGGTAGGTAGGTTCTCACATGGCAATTGGCTGTCGGAGGCGCAAGTCCACCCACTCCCACTCCCGCTACCACCGCCGCCGCACTTGAAGTTGCAGTTGCAAATTGCACGCAATGCTCACGGGGCCCGAGAGATCCGCGCAGATGTGGCGTGTTTGCCAAGCCGCAGGGTTGCCAGAGCGGCTTAATGATGCCGCACACTGCGGCTATAAAGAGCGCCTGGCATTTCAATTTCAAAGCAGCCTAAATACACGCTCAAATGAGCCAGCAGCCGACAGCAGCAGCTCTTCCGTAATTTAGCCACTTCAAAGTGGGAATACCCTAACTGTCGATGGAACAAGTACAATTGGAGGGTATATACAGAAGGTGGTGAAGTTCACTGAAGAATTATCAAGGTGGAAGTAAAATCAGACTGTATAAACTACCTGCTGCAATTGTCTTTTAACATAAAGGAGCTGTGTGGGGTCTGGCATATGGACTAGTCTTAAATCATTTAAACTTAAGATGAGTAAAACGATTTTTTAATTTCTGCAAAGGTTTTCAAATTGAAAATTTCTTTGGTTTGCTGTTTTAATTTATTTAAAAGTAAAGGACACTTTTAGCCTTAGCTTAGTCTAAGTTCTCTTGGAAAAATATTATTGAAAATTAATGAAGGTCACAATAAATAACTGAAACACATTTTCCCTCAAGCTAGATTCTTCAAATAAATCTCGAGACCCTCTTAAGACCCCTTTCCCCTTTCAAAATCTTTGCTAATTTTATTTTCAAATGCATTTCGGTTTTGGGAACAGCCGCGCATGCTCTCTCCGATTTAGTCGATTTTGTAGGGCAAGACGCATTAAAATATGAGCACAACCCTAGGCCAGGTCAAGCGTGTGTAACCCGAGCTTTTCTTTTATATCCGTATTATGCGCGGGCATGCATATTTATACTGGAGCTCGGAGCTCAAAGTCGGAGTCGTAGTTCGTAGTCCCCGTACCTTTTGCAGCCGAAGATTCCGAGAAGTGCAGTGCCCGCCAAACTCTGTCCATAAAAACAAATTTAATTGCAAGCTGTCACACACACACACACGATGGAGGAGGGAGTTGTGGATTGGCATCGGAGCTGCGACTGGGTCCCTGTGCTGGGGAGTCGCACTTGGAGTAGGAGTCGTTGCCGAGGTCAGACCTCTGGCCCAGACAAATGATGTAAGCTCCGGATAAGCCAAGTGGCCATGTTGACACTGCCGCAGTGGTGAAAACTGTGCGGAGACCAAACATCCACATCCCCATCCATATCCCCATCTTCAGCCAACATCTAATATTTGCTGTCCATCTGGCTGACATTCGGAATTGGACAGGCAGCTAATGAATACCTTACACATGTCGGCAAACAAACGCAAATAATGTCAAGTCTCGGAGCTCCAACTCGTCATGAGTCAGGTCAGAAAGATCCGAAGACTGGATGCGATGGGACGGGATGGGATGGGATGAGTGGAGATGCTGATGATGATGAGGCGGCAGCAGATGTGCCAGTTTTTATTCGGTTCGCTTTTCAGCGCAACTGCCACTGCCAACACACTTGGAAAAGCAGGAGAATCAACAAGTAGATATGTATATGCTTTATTCAAAATTAAATTTGGAATTTAAGGGACCGATTGAGATAGATTTCATATTCAAATTCATTTTAAAAACGTATTTTCTTCTTACGACTAATTTTTGAAAAGGGTCAAGAGGTCCCCAGGCTTGATTCCAACAGAGTAGTCTAGTTCCTAAGCTCACAGTTAACAATTAAGAATTTTTCCAAGTGCATAAACCTGTGCAAATGTTTGTCAAAGACTTTTCTACACGATTTGGCCGCGTTTTACCAATTGGCATTGAAGCAATTAACATCAACATGCAGCTGGAGATAGAGATGAAGTTGGAGCTGAAGCTGAAGCTGGAGATGGAGATAGAGTCAGAGATGGAGCTGGAGTTGAGGCTTTGAAACTGGAACGGGAATCGCACTGGCAACTCTAAGTGGCCGCCCGATACGAGTGTTCTCTTATGTCGATTTAGATTTCACAGATATTTCTGATATTTCCAGGAATCGTGTGGCTGGCTCGGGGAACCTTTGCAGAAACAGCAACAGGCATTATAGGAAAACAAAAGTTCACATCATAAATTTTAAAGTGTCACGAATCTGTCTGGAAAAAAAATCATTCATTTGCCTGCAGTTATCGCCAGCTACCTCTCTCGCTCTATCTATGTCAGCGCCTCTCGCTTGCTCCTCAAAGGGAAGCCGCACACAGGCCCCCCCTCGAAAGACGTGCCAGCGAAAAATCCAGCCCCGCAAAATGCAGAAAAATAAAAATAAAAAAGTCTGCCTGAGAGGAATTCTAATTTACACTCGTCAGCAGGGAAGGAACACTACGTTCTGGGGGGTTTATGGGGATTTCCCCCGGGCTTTCCCATGACCTTTGCCGTGATCCCGTAAATTGAAGCTCGTTAAGAAATTTGTAACGCTCTTTTGCTCAAGCACTCCAGCGGCATATTAATAGTTTTGCTTTTAAAAGGAACATTAACATTAAGCTTGACATTAGACAAAGTAGAACATATGGTAAACATAATATATTCATTGCTAAAAATATAAATTATATTAAATAAATAGAAATAAAATGAAGTATGAGCCTACAAGGCAGGGTTTTCAATCTATTACAAATTACAAGTCTTAAGACATTCTTTAATCTTCTTTGTTAGCATATCAACCTAACTTTATCTGGCAATCTTATCGGAAATCCTTTTCTAAAGCCTTATTGCTCTTAAACCCTTAACCCTTTTCTTCTTTCGATTTTCGTAAACTAAACTTTTGCCCTGGTTATGTATTTACTTAATAAAAGGGCTCTATCCAATCGCAGATCTAGGGCAGATAGCCAACCCTGCTGGACAGTGTTTATCGACTTTTAGACCAGACTTTTGTTCTATTTTCTAAGGCTAAGTTCTCTTGGCTCACAATGCAAGTGCTGTTCGCTGTTGTTGTTGTGACTGTTGCATATTTCCTTTTAGCCAAAGTGGCAAATTGACTGACATGCATTCGGCCAAGAACTAGGGAAGGCGGAGTGGGAGTGGGAACCGTCTTAAAGGCTTAAATGCAGCTCCGCTTCGTTCTCAGCGCCATTTGGCTGACTTGGCAGAGTTGGCTGGCGCATTTGCATATCTGCTCGTAAATATGGATGGGCCGACGACGACTGGGTACGGGGCCTGCAAGTCTATGAACTTATTGCCAGACAAATTGAAATGCCTGATTCGGATGCAGATGCTGATTCTGGGACTCGTACTCGTACTCGAACTCGTACTGGTTCTGGTTCTGATTCTGTGGTCGTGGTTGTGCCTCTGCGATTGCCCACAGCTGCTCGTTGAGCCCATTCCCATGCGTTACTTTGACACTAAACCGATGGGGCTGATACTAATTCTGATTCAGATATGGAAATTGAGATGTGCACAGGGGGAAAATAAGGATTTTCTTTGGGATATTCTTATATTTAATATAAATTACTTTTATATAAGAATATCTTTGAAAATTGAGAGCATTTCAACTAATTTAATCACAAAAACTTCAGCTTTCTTAACATGTTAAAAATATTCCTATCTTATCTTGAAAAATTCCCAAATTAGAGCTAGTTATTCCCAGTGTACTTCCACTGATCCCCCACTCACCTGCGCTCCGGAATTGTGCTGTAGTAGAGAAGCAGCGTGGCCAGCTCATAGCAATTGAGGCCGGCGGACGCCACACAGGCCGCGTCCACGCTCACAAGTGGGTCGCCTCGGAGGGTGCGTGTGCCTGCAAAGAGTTGGGAGGGATCGTTAAGGACGATGCATTATGGAAAAGATCTCGTCGAGGTGTGCGAAATCACACACTCTCCGGACACTCCGATCTCAATTGCTGCGCCCTGGGTGGCCCCGACCACTTCGATAATGTGCGAAAAAGCGTGTGCATATTAATTTAAAAGCGCCAACTTTATGATTTTCCCAACAACTTTTCGCCAACACCAACACCATCGTCTGAATAGGAAAACGAAATGGCCAGGGAAATGGCAACGCTGCCGGAGGCAAATTGCCCGATGGGGCGTTTCAAAGCGATTCCAATTTATAAGCAAATTTGGATTTTGGTCCAGTGAAAGTCTAGAATTAGACGGGCGGAACTGGGGGGGCGCAGCGAAAATGGAAAGTTTGTCACCTAGGTCCCGGGCACATGGACGGAGGCTCACCTGGTAGGTAGACGCCGCTGGTCAGCAGTTTCTCGGGCAGCTCGCCAATCGAGCTGGGTGGCAGTAGCTCCGTCTCGCAAGTATCTGCAGAGAGAGAATGGAAAATGTTGTTAATAACTATTAATAAGTAGTAAAAATATATAGCCAATCCCTTGCATATTTTAGAAATATAAAATAAGTTCAAATATATTCCCTATTCGCTTATAAAATGTAGATATCTTCTTGCACCGATCTAAGATAACCTTTATCTATAAATATTATTGTTCATTCTAAACACTGAACATTTTTTTCGTCACGTGTAACATGGCAACCAGAAAAGCCTCGAGAAAACTCACACACATTAAATAGCCAGCCATATGGAGGGTAAAAATATGGGTTAATTGTATTTTAAACGCTCGACGGAACCTTGAAAACTGGTCCAGGATCTGCGCCGTTTGCATAATAATGTCACTTGATTAATATCGAGTGGTTCAGCAGCTCAAAGCCCACAGCCCACTCTAGGAAGGGGCGTGGCCAGAGCGAAGCCTTGGCTCCGCTAACCGAAAGCCCCGCCGAAAACGAGTTCGTCATAAATTTAATTTTCCGCCTGCCCGGGGCACTTTCGCATGCGACAAATATACGTTCCAATGATAAATGCGGGACATTTCAGCGTCTCGGGAAATTCTGTAGCCATTGGAATGAACTCCGGCCACCTGTTGCTGCCGCTGCCGCCTTTCGATGGCGGAGAGCCAAAAAATGAATGCGACCCGCCGCATTGTAATTCAATAGCCCGACCACAATAGCCCCCGCACTTGTCGACTGATTTATGCCCGCTTGCAAATTGCACCCACACCCAGCCCAGATCGCGGTTGAACGCATTCCAGGGAACAGTGGGGGAAAACCCCGAAAAAATGGGACTTTATGGGAGAATATATCTAGAGATATATGTTTTTGGTACTATTAAACATTTTAAACGAATCTATAGGGTTGTTTTTATATTTTCAAAGACCTTTCAGCTTAAGGAAACATTTGTATTGTCGCTGAGAGAATAATCTACTTACAAATACTCTAATATTCTAATAATCTGATTCTGCTTGAGTAATTTAAAATTATATAAGTAAAGTCTAATAAATTGTACCAGAGAGTTTAAATTAGTTTTCAAGGCATAAACTCAAATCAACAACCATTGTAATCCCAATTTCAAAACATCATCTCTTAGCTAAATTTCCAAACAATGATATATACCCACTGTGTTACCACAGTGGAGCTCCGCATAGCACTGCTTTGGTTTCTCATTTAATTTTCATATTTTAGGCTTTGACAAATTAAAAGGCATTTGCACCGTTGTCGCTGCCGCAGAGACAACGATATTTTGCGGCTAACCGCGTCTCGCCGGATGCCGTGGGATGTCGATGTTAATGGCTAATGGCTAAAACCACGGCTGCCGGCGGACCTCCTCCTCTTCCACCCCCTCTCCGATCGGGCATTTTGAAGGGGCATTTTCAGCCGCCAATAAAGAACGGCTTTTAAGATTTTCAAGAAATAATGGATACACAGAGATAGAAGTGGCAATTCTCGAGACTGGCCAACATAATTGAGAATGGATTAGAATTTAATGGATGGCGTTGTCAGCTAACTGAGTTTCTGGCAAATCATTTATTGTGGTAACCGAAATAAGAAAGACAAGCGCAATAAAGATTACGTTGGGTGAGGTTCCAAAAACGAATTTAAAACCGGAAATATTTCTGTGGCCTGTCACCGAACACAATTAAGATAGCATCTAAAGTGAACCACATTTTTGTCATGATTTTTCTGCTCGAATTTCACTCTTACACACTTTCGCTAGAATTCAGGGCATAAACTCTGCATAGTTCCAGCTGTAATCTCAGCTCAATCTGCGGCTATTAATTGATTCAAATGTCGGACAGCATTTATGAACAGAAAATATATCAAATTAGCGCTAAAACCGAACGCTATCAAGGCATACCATTAGGCCCCAACAGCCCGCCAACTCGATGGACTTCAAAGCGCCGTTCGAAACGATCGCAAATTTAACTCCACTTTGGGTTGGCTCGACTTTTGGCTGCGGGGCGTTTAATTGAATAGTTCGGGCTCACAGATTTGCATACGGAGCGATGCAGGCCATGGAGCTAAAACAAATAAGACAAATCACGCCCAGAAACGGCGATAAGTGAGCCACGAACTGGTCGCTCTGTTGCAACTGTTGCAGTTACACAGAGGGAAATTTGGGAGGGTTTTGAGAGTTGAAAATGAGTAGGTAGATGTAATGGTGTTTATTCTGCGTATCTTTTTATTTTAATCATTGTTTAAGCGACCTATTACTTTTAATTTTAAAGTGTTTTAGCTGAACTCGAGGTCTAGCTTTCATATTTCTACCAATTTTCTAGGCTTTAACCAGCGCAAAATAGATTACAAATCAAAGGATATTATTTTCCTAGTCCAAATATTTCTCACTGCACTAAATGCTCACAAATATTTCGCTCGATATCAGGAGTAATTGCTTTTTGCCACTGGCCAACGGGGCGCATGCGTAATGCCGCATTACGTATACGTAGCCCAGACTCACCCAGACTGTGGTGCTTCTCCACTCCGCCGCAGTCGCTCGGCTCCTCGTCGCTATCAATGTGCGGAAATGAGTTTCCCAGACAGAAGAGAGGTAGAGCCGGCGAGGTGGACACTCCGCTGGCCTCGTTGCCATTGCTGTTCCGCTTCTTCGCCTCATTGCTGCTGCTTTGCAGCTCCTCGCCGGCACTGGACCCAGAGCTGGAGCTGCTGCTCCTGTCGCTCACATTGCTGTTGCCCGACGAAGTGGAGTTCATGCTATCCTGCCGGTTGGTCAGGCGCCGGAGCATGTACCGGCTGTTGAAGAGTTTGTTTTTGGTAATCAAATCGCTGCGCCGCAGTGCGCACTTGGGCGATCCCACCAAGCTCTGGCCGTGACTGCAGCCATTATTGTTGGCCTCATCCAGCAGATCCTCGCCTGGATGCATCTGCAGCTGCAGCTCGTTGAGCGACACCCGCTCGATGCTGCGCTCCACGCTCACCAGCAGATTCTGCAGCAGCTGCGGCAGTTCGCCGCTGTCTGCCGCCATTAGGGCTGCCGCTGCCGTGGTCATTTCCAGCTGAAGCACGCTCAGTGGTAGCTGGCGGGGATTCGTGTGATCGATGCAGTGGCTCTGGACGCTCTCCTCCTTGCGGGACGAGCGCCAAACAGCATAGAGCCGTGCGATGGAGTCCGCTTCGCTTTCCGCGGATGCTTCTGTAAAGAAATAAAATTATAGGTTACCTGGGAGATTAAAGAAGTAAATATAAATATTTTATGCTATAAATATATTATCCCTCGGAATAAAATCATTATAGCCGCGAATAGGACTAAGTAATTGGTATCAAGATAAGTCTTGTAACTACTATTTTCCTTGCCAGTACAAAGTCGCATTCTAGTTCCATTTAAATTGATCAAGCTACCCAGACGGCCGTAAGTGATCGATTATATTGATTGCCGGTTGTGTGCTCGATCCCGGCTAATCATAGTCATTGTCTGGCGAAGGGCTAGACCTCTTTCGATCCCCCTCCCTGATCCCTGTCGACCCACTTACCCAATTTGATGCAGAGATACAGCTCCGCCGGGCGAAGTGCGTGCGCGATCTCAGCGTCGCTCAGCTGCAGCACCAGCGCTCCATTGGACGTTGCCAGCGGCCAGCCGGGATGCCATAACCAGGACTGCAAGGAAACCAACGGGGGGAATAGATTGCAGATTGAGTAACGAAATCATTTGCAAATTTTTATTATTACTACGATTACATGTTCGGCCGGCCAGAAATTGTGCAGGCCGCAACACCCGCAAGTGTTAAGCTGCGGAAAGGAAACCGAAAACGATAAAGAAACCAAAGCCAAGCCAAAAGCCTGGCCAAAACCCAGGCCCACAGACTGGCTGGAAAGCGCATTAAAAATGGCCCAGACTGTCCGACGTCAGACGTCAGAGCTGGGGATACTTGGATATTTGGATATTTGGAGGCCTGAATGTTCGAGGTCTCCCCCATGTTTGTCCGACAGAGTTGGCCATATCGGAGATGGCGAGTGTGGCAACTTTTTTGGCCGCCTCAGTACGAAAACTACACAGAGAGAAAAGGATCTTAAGTCGTAGATAACTATTAACTATTTCTTTTTAAAGTAATATCTGAATAGGAGATACACAAACTGAATAACTTCAATTATTTCTTTAATAATTTAGTTAATAAATATCTCCTAAAAATATGTACTAATTATTCCAATTAATAAGCAATATATTTTAATATATATAGTATTCTCTGCGTGCACTTAAAATGCCTATGCAAAAAAATATCCCAAACTGGCACCGCCTGGCGATGGCGATGGAAAATTATAGATAAATCATGCAAGTCAAACTTTTGGCAATTTTTGCTAATTTTTGGTTATTACCCTCAGCGTTTGTGCCAAGCTGAAAACTCCGAAAAGCTGAATAGCAGAAAGCCCAACGCAGATTTCACCCCTACGGGAATGTGAAATCGAATTCGAGACTGGAAACTGAGGAGAGAGAGTGCTCCTAGAGCCCAGGCCCGATTCCGATCCTTTGGCTCGCCATTAATTGTTGCAATGCGAAAATGTTTCTTCGCATTGTTGCTAATTTGCCAGTTGCTCAGATTTTTTTGTGCATTTGATTTTTTGCTTGCTTGGCTTTTGTTTTCGAATGGAAAATGGACAGTGGAAAAAAAGGTGCGCGCTGCTTGATTTATAGCGCCTTTTGACTCAACACAAAAACTTGGATATTTTATTGGTAACAAAGCGATTGCTGTTTTTTTGTTTTTTTTGTTTTGTTGCTTTTGCTGCACATGCCACCCAGCAAGGCGAGACAGAGACAGAGAGAGCGAGAGGGAGAAAGAGACGCGAACATAAATCAATTGTTGTCGCTCGAGAGGGAGGGGGGCCTGCCGAAGAGGGTCCGTCGATCGAAAATCCATTCAAACAGAAAATGATCAATTTTGTCATTTGATCAAAGCCGCAGCAACGATCGCAACGCATCGTTTACAATCGATTGAACAAAATGATCATCGCCGATCAACCGAACCACACAACGACCAAGACAACAACGCAACCACTTCCTCCCCTGTCTTGCTCAGAGGTTTTTTGGACCTGCACAGAAAAAATATATACTACTATAATAAAAAATAATATTTTATATAAAAATATGTATAAAGTAATGTCGGAGGTACGTTTTGTGATACAAAATGTTGTAAGTAATATAAATCAGTGGTGTTCATAGCTTTGACTCTCCAATTTCTCTGCCTGAACTGTGCCAAAATAATATTTGCAATTTTGGTAGTCATATATGAAGACTTTATTCTATATCTGATTTATACAAAAATAACCTTCTAACCTTCTCCAGCAAGGCCTGACCTAAATAATAACTAAACTTCCTATAATATTATGAGCTGAAATGAGTTCAATAACTTTCATTTCAAATTCAAAATATTATATATTCTTCAATGAAAAAAATTTTAATTAAAATGTAAGTCTTGAAGAATATTAATTTCCAACAAAGAACCCTTAATCTTCTCTATGTGTGTTTCATGGAGGTATCGTTGTATAAGCCCCTGTCGCCACATGCTAAAATAATGCTTTTCGTAACATTTTCTGCTTGATTGCTCCCAGATCCAGCTCAAAGCTCCAAGCACCACCAAGTTCCATGTTCCATTCTCGGTGCCGGTGCCGTCTGCATCTCTGATCCGATCGGAGCCTATCCGATCCGAAGGGGGGTTCTAAATCATTGGAATCGTCGCTTCGGCGGCGTTTCAGTTTCGTCGTCATTGACCCAAATGCGCGCATCGCTCGGACGCCGCTTGTCATTGTCATCTTTGTCGTGTTGATATTGTGGTTGTTGTTAATTTTCTTGTTATTTTTATTGTAATATTGTCAAAGTTTTGTTGTATTTATTTTGTACTTTTGTGGCTGTTTGCCGATGGTGTTCGCCTACGCTGAATTAACTCTCTTGAAACAGAGGGTTTTATTTTCTGTTCAAGGTTTTTGGTTTCGCGTTTAAAGTGAAGTTTATGCAGTTTTAAAAGTTGAGTTTTCTTAAAGCCGACAATAATTACTTTTAAGAATAAGCCTATTTACTAAATCTTAAAAATATTTTGTTTTATTTTTAAGCAGATTTATAAACGATATAGAAACTAACAGCTTTCCGAATTGAATTTGATGCTTTGTTAGCTTAGTTAATATATTTACAAGGTTTGATTTGTCAAAAAAATTATGGATAAATTTAAAAAATGGATTGATTCCTAATGCTCCAATTGCAAACTATTTAAACTTCGGTGTGCTTTCTTGTTTTATTTTAAAAACATTTCCCAGAGATCATCAGCAAAGAACTCAATGCTAGGACGAAGCTTAGGTTAATAAAAATATTTCATTAACTTTAAATCTTCAAAATAGCAAGAAATTTCTTAGAATTATAGGAACAAAAAAGGAAGCAAAGGGTATAATAATTTCACCATAACAAAGATACAAACGTATCTTTTTCGTTCTTGTCATTTGGGTCTTTTTTTGTATTGTGCCTGGGCCTGAGCTCGGGTTATTTTCAATTTGTTGTGGGGCGACAAATTTCCGTTCCATTGGCGGCTTTCGGCTTTTGGCTTTTGGCTTTCGGCATTTTGAGTGCCTGCCCATAAATCTGCGGCTGGATTTCGGCGAGGATTTGTCTGAATCCTGGCCGGGATCAGCGCATATATCATTCCATCATTGTGTGTATGTTTTTTGTTTCATTTTTTTTTTTGCCCATTCCCACGCCTTTGATGTTGAAAACTAAATTACCGACCGGCAGCGGCGAAACATAACGAAACGAAACGAAAACCCATCAACGGGCGGCGGAGTCAACGGATCGACGGGCCGTATATATGAGTAATCAAGCCGACATGGCCGGCATTAGCATATATGCAGATATATACAGATGTCATGTGTGTGGCCAAAGCAAAATGTATGAATGGCCGTGTCCCGGCGGCGTGTGGCGCCCAGCCTATGCCAATTATTCAATGCGGGTGCAGTCGTACACGGATTCGGATTTGGACTCTCTCGGCTGGGGATTGGACCCTGGCGGATGGAGGAGGCCTGGGCTGGGATCCGGGACAGAACCAGGGGGACCACCGTCGGAGCCAACGAAATTACGCATGCAGGGCGTTGCACAAAAATAAAATAAAAGGAAATACAACAAGCGACAGACACACCACCACCTCACTCATCGACACATGCACTTGGCTTGTTTTCTTAACAAATTGTAGAGGAACCGTGCACGCTGGCTACAAGGTACCAATAAAACCATGGGGTATCCATTGTACAAGCAACCTTTTTTGCACAGAATTACGTAGATTTATGGCCTGCTTTAACAAGTTTATATAAAAAAGTTGTACAATTTATAGTCTTTGTTATAAAGAGAAGCATAAGGAAGTATTAGCGTTTGATCTTCAGGGTGCTTACTGTACCTGCCGCTGCTGGGCTTTGACTTTTTGTTTTGTATTTCACATACCAATATTTTTCCTAATTTCTCAGCTCGACCAATAATTAATTTGTTGGGAAAAAAGGGCCACACCTGGTCAAAAGCGCCGACAGCGATCGATAATTATCATGTGTAAGCGGCCTCGGGTTTTATATTATTTTTTTATTTCTGGGTGGATGGGGAGAAACCGTTATTTTTTGCCAAATTGTCTTCGATGGCCAACAATTGATATTTTGGCGTTTGTTATTTATTTTTAATTTGTCTGGCAAAATTGATGTTGTGGGTTGAGCAAAGTGCCGGGATTCCATCAATTGATTAAAATAGCTTTGTCTGCAGGAACATTACAGCCGGATTATATAAGCCGCCTGGGGAATTCGATATTTTGGTAACGATAAATAAAGTTTTTGGAATGTGGTAACAAACAATAAGCCAGGGAATAAATGTGGGCTATAAATCAATCTGTAAAGCTGTTAATATTGTAATTCGAGTAAGTGTTAATCATAGAGTATTTTTATACAAAAAACAGGTAAGCAGTTTATGGTCAGTAAAGCTGTTAATATTTGCAAATTACATATGAATTTATAGCACAATTTAGATGTGATCAAGTGACTTAATAATTTCCTTGTGCTATTTGTTAGTTTATTATTTTCTGAGGTTTATATCTCAAGTAGCCATATCTCAAGTATTACTTAATGTATAAATAGATAAATTGGTAAATTCATAAGCTTTTTCTATTGGAAAATCTGTATGAAAATTTCCGTTTTTCTGCTCTACATACAGAGCTATAAAACTCCCCGATTTATCTTTTGTTTGCACAATTTTGGTTGCAATTTCCTTTTTTTTTGCTGCTCCATTTGATTTCCGATTCCACATGTTTCCTGTATCAATTAAAAGTGCGAATATTCTGGTAAATTTTCTATAATTAGAAGCTTTATTTCACACTCCCTCGGGGCATTATTTTGTGCTGAAAAAACAGCCTTACGTATCTTTGAACTTTTGCACCAACAAAAGCGACTCACTTTATATATTTATTGCCGTCAACGTCACATTTCCGCTTGATCTGGCGCGGATTGGCCATCAGCGGAACGTCATTGGCACCACCAACATTCACATTCACATCCACCACAGTCCACGATGCACCACCGCAGGGGAATCCAAGAGCACGTCCATGTCCATGCCCATGCAGATGCCACATTTGATTCGGATCACTCCGGCC